CGAATTTTTTAGCATCATCGAGTCATTCGAAGACTAGAGAGAAATACAACATCGACACCAAATCTCAAGTTTCTTTTCTATTGCCAAAGACAGCCCAGAAACGACTTAACCTAGCAAGGCGACTGTGCTGGACAGGAACGTCTAGAAGCGAGGGAGCTGGGAAGTAGGCAATGAAATGAAAGTAGCCTCTTCACCAGACTCCTTCCCGCCGGATCGCTTCGCTCTTCCCTAAAAGCAAGCGCATGTGCAGTTCGTCTCGTTCCCAGACTCAACAGTAGCGGCGAACCAAGTTGGAACCAGGCGCTCTCGCTTCTAAACTAGATATTTTGCAATTTTTCGATTGGTTGATACGGCCTATCAAAACACGCGCGTGAAATGCCAAAGTTGACGCTATGGCAAATGGCAAAGATTTCCGTCAAACTCAGATAATTGATCGAGCCTCCACCTCAGCCTGGAGATGGATAAATTCTTAGGCTAGGGTACTATGCATATAGATAACTGACCAATCGTGAGGTCAAGATGGCTGGATGTTTACGGACCGAGCCGGAGCGGTCAAGGTCCATAGACGCGACAAAAAAGAAGATCGGTGGTATCCATTTATACCGGCACCTGGCTGGAGAGAAGCACTGAGTGCTAACAACAACTTAACATAATTACCTTGACCGTCCCTTGGCCAGCCCACAAAAAATTCGCACAAAATCGATTGGTGAAGGAGAAAATTCTTTCGCTCTGATTGGATAGAACGTTTTGAAAACTTAGGAAAATTGCTTCTAGAATTTAAGAATGTCTGCGGCAAACTTGAATAACAATAGGAAAATTATTTTGCAACGGTTCGCTAGGTGCAAGAATGTACTGTGTTATGCCTCACACTAGTAACGTCTGCCTCACACCAGTAACGTAACGGCAAGGTCACGCAAACTGATGTTTTAGTGCCCTGCAGCGTGAACAACACAACATAGCGACATAACAGTAGCATAATGACATAGGGAAAGGCTAATCTTTTCTACCTGTTGATATGTCCACATCATGTCGTTATGCTGTTAGTGTAATCACTGTAAACAGGACCCCATCACTAGGAGCGTGCATCTTCCATACTAAGCCTATGTCACGGCATTTTCACAGACTGCTCTATTTTTTGGCTTCTTTTCCCGCGAAGTAGGTCAGTTCCGGTCTACATGAGCGCTCATCGGTAAGGAAAAAAGGGCGGCCTCAGGTGGACATACTAAATACATAAAATTAAGTCCGTGCTTGTGATTGGTTACTGAGGCTCCTGCGGGGATCTGAATTCGCGCTAAATTATGTGAAAACGCTGTGACAGGAATATGGGGTAGTTGCACACTCCTAGTAATGGGCTCCCACTGTAACTTATTCAAGAATCATTCAAGGCATCCTTGTCATGTACATTTTAGTTTATTTTGTCAGCAAAAGTTCAGAATGTACGGGGAAACATAACGAGCTAAATTTGTTAGAAATTCATCTGAAACCACCATGGCCACGAAAGAA